AATTTTTTTTTAATTTTTCTTTCAATTCTAATTTGCTTTTGTGGGCTGGACACATAACCAACAATCTCCCCCTCCGGCCCATGAGTAGATGTCCACCATACATTGCTCAATGTCAATCAGTCCCACTTTCTTGGTGCAAGACTGATGTTTATCATGAGTCACTATCTTAGTCAACATGTCAGCTGGATTTTTATCAGTGTGAATCTTTTTTAATAATAACATATCTTTATTATTCACATCTCGTATATAATGATATCTCACATCAATATACTTAGTTTGACAATGACGTGACATTCTTACTTAAATCTGGAGCACTTTGGCTATCACAATTCATTACATACTCATCTTACTTCAAACCAAACTCTTTGAGAAATCTTTTCATCCAGAGCATTTCTTTACCTGATTTAGTTAAAGCTATATACTCTGCCTCAGTTGTAGATAAGACAATATATTTTTGCAATTTAGACTGTCATAATACAGCTCCTCTTATAAAAGTAAACACATACCATGAAGTAGACTTTTTGCTATCAAGGTCACTTACCATATCTGTATCTGTATATCCCTCTAGAATTGGTTATTTGAAAATCTATTTTACTGTTTTCCAATGACTCTTACCAAGATTAGAAAGAAACTTGTTTACCAAACCAACAATATGAGCAATATCTAGTCGGTCCAAACCATATAATATATCAAACTCCCAACTACAGAGGAGTAAGGAATAACTGACATTTTTTTTAGTAGCAGGACATAATTTCTTACTAAGTTTGAAGTGATCAGCAAGTGGTGTGCTAACCGGCTTAGCATTCTTCATATAAAATCTGTTTAGAACCTGCTCATCATATCTTTTTTATGACAACCATAACTTTTTAGTTTTCTTGTCAGGAGTAATTTGCATATCCAAAATTTATCATACTGGTCCCAGATCTTTTATATCCAAAAAGTCAAACAATTCTTTTTTCAAACCACTAATCTCTATAGTGTCTTGTCCTACCATCAACATGTCATCTACATAAAGTAATAGAATGACAAACTTACCATTTGTGAATGTCCTGAAATGCGCACAATGATCTGTATTTGTTCTGGTGTAATCATGACTGACTATGAAAGAATCAAATTTCTTATACCCCTGTCTCAGAGCCTGTTTCAATCCATACAAACTCTTTTTCAACCTACAAATCATGTGTTCTTTCCTTTTGACTTCAAATCCCTCTAGTTGATCCATGTAGATTTCTTCCTCCAAATCACCATGAAAGAATGTTGTCTTCACATCTAGTGGTTCAAGCTCAAGATCTAAACTAGTAATTAAATTAAGAATTACCCGAATGGAGCTCATCTTCACAACAGGAGAAAATATCTCATCAAAGTCAATTCATTTCTTCTGATTGAAACTCTTTACTACTAAACGAGCCTTATACTTCACTAACTTCACATTGTCTATCTTAACCTTGTATACCCACTTTTTTTTCAAATCTTTTCTACTTTTCAGAAGTTTAACTAACTCATAGGTATTATTATTCTTCAAAGAACTCATTTTTTCTTGTATTGTTTTCACCCAGTGAGTTTTTTCTTGATGGTTCTGAACTTCTTGGAAGCTTTCTGGCTCCCCCT